TTCCTGATGTTGATGTTAATTTTTTAACCTTTTGCGCATTCTTCTACACACATTCCAATGTGCGTTCTATATCATCTCTGTGAAGACATATTTGTTCATATATGAACGATATTAAATTTCTTGTTTTTTGTTGTATTGTTGCTGTCTACCAAAAATCTTCAATATTTCAAAAAAAACTATATTTCAATACACCAAGATATAAATTATTGTCAAACATTCTGCGTCAATATTATGTGTCAAAGCGATATATTAGATATATTATTCCAACAAATCCCTTTACAGTGTTACTCATAATCCACTATATTGCAGTCATCCGTCATATCATAGCTATACAATTTTTCTTACTATATTTGAGATAGTTTATTCAATGATGATTAATGCGCATTCACAGTCAACAATAGTTAGCAAATATTTTTCAAATGGACCAATGAGTGAATCCACTGTTGAATGTCGATCAGACATTGCCTGTATAAACTTACTGACCTTATTGATGGTGGTTCAGCGCATAGGGGGGAATAACAAAATGCAAAAAATTTTAGTCAACGTCATTGGAGGGATTATAGGGATACCATGATAATAATCCAATTATTTTTTTTATACATTTATAATACTGCAGTTATTTACAAAGGTGTAGAAACTAGGTGAGAGATGAAAACATTGATACACAAATGATATGACAATATTATTTGACTATTCAAATGAATTCAATTCAATGTAGACTATGTAGAAATAATGAAAATAATAATCTTAAATCAAACTATAATTATTTTTGTGTTTCTTCTACTATTATCGCTATTTTAAATATGTTTCTAATGGATATGACGAATAGTTATCTCCGTCTTCCGAATACCATATTTTGTATGACGTAAACTACTAATGAAGACCAAAATCTAACAATCATTACACTTGCGATTCGAGTATTTTACATTGTTTATTCAAAAACTTTTATGGTGGAAATGAAAAATATCAATCCTCTTTTTTCTCCCATATTCTGTAAAATAACATTTTCTTTCCTCTAGTGGAAATAAAAGTCATGCGCTCTACAGCTCTTTGGGGGGTGAGCACTTCGGCCGTAGATATTTTGAGTGAGAAAAACTGAGACTTGAATATTGTAATTGAAAATAGGCGACACTTGGCAGTTTTATATCAATATAAAAACATTTTCAGGGTTCGATCAATGAAATAAATGTAACTATCAAATGGCTATATTCAACCTTGATAAATATATACGTATCAAAAATGACCAACCTACGGAATCATACTGAAACCCTTATTTCAACCAAACTTTTGTATAAGTACGATATTAAAATAATTGCTTTTCACCAGTACTAAATTTACCATTATTGTTGCATAATACTTGCATACTTGGTTGTAGTAAAATATCTGGCCTGTTAAGATCCAAGAATGGATGGCGGTGGTTGTTACTGGCTGAAGCCAATTGTAATTCGTTCTTATTGTGAGGAAGAGTATTGATAGTGAACTCCACTGCGAAGATTTTCAATATGATCTTTTGAAATTATTGGTGAATAGATGGTGGTTCTTGAATAATTCAGTTGAATGTACGTCAGCAAGTGGTCGACTGTTTCCTGAAGCCACACATTACAATTCTTAAATTTGCCATAAGATCACTGGCAACAAGATATATTATGTAACTTACATCATGCGGATGGCTTTATAAATATTTCGAAATGAAATCTCGAAATATTCATTTCCCCCAACTACCTATACCGTAGGTTCTGGTAAATGCCTGCCAGAAAACAACTACTTCCTCGGTCAATACCTCACTAGATATTGAATTATATCCAACAGACATTTATGCAAGATACCTGAAAGGGGTTAGTCTCTCGTTCATCCAGCAGCTGGACCATGCTGAAATCATTCGAGTAGATCACCTACAGACTGGTTTCGAAGTATTACCTCTCATCAGTGCAGGAAAGATCCGACCCAAACAGCGAAGTGCCTCGAATAATTTCATCGCGGCTCAATATTTCGAAATATTCATCATTACCAATATTTCGAGATTTCATTTCGAAATAATCATTTTCTAGTACGTATGTATCTCTCCTCGATAGTCTTCAGACACGGTTTGATCTCTGTTAGAATATTGGTACATGGAATATTTCTTTGTTCACGAGATGGAGTTGTTACTGGTAAAACAGACTTTCTCTTAGACGAAGGTTTCATACATGCAATTGAGCTGTGTCGAAATCAATAGTCCCAGGCACTTTGCTGTCTGGGTCGGATCTTCCCTGTACTGATGAGAGGTAATACATCGAAACCAGTCTGTAGGTGATCTACTCGAATATTTTCAGCACGGTCCTGCGCTCGATGAAGAAGAAACGTCTGCAAGACTAACCTGGGACTCATTTAATTTCAAAACAGCTCCACTGCATATATGAAACCTTCGTCTAAATCTAAGAGTAACAACCCCATCTCGTGAACAAAGCCCCAAGCGAAAAAAACATTCCATGTACCAATACTCTCACAAAGATCAAAACGTGTCTGAAGACTGTATCAGGAGAGATACATGGTCAGCATGGTCCTGCGTTGGAGGAATGAGAAACATCTGCGAGACTAACCTCTGTGGTGTATCTTGCATAAAAGTTTGTTGGGTGTATTTCATTATCCAGCGTGGTATTAGCCGGGGAAGTAGTTGCTTTCGGCAGGCATTTGCCAGAACCTAAGGTGTAGGTTGTTTGATATTTCGGACACGTTTCTACCTGTCAGACCTTTGCTCTGATTATATTT